TTTATGTGTTAACATCTTATTATTTTAAGAGAATAAATTAAATATTCAACCTCATCCAATATAATTTTTCCACCACTTTATTTTTTATTTATTTTTTCTTTTGAGCCTCTCTAACCCCATCCTATCACCCCTGCTCATAATAAACTGCAAGTATACTTTGTTTCGAAACTTGAAAGCATGGGAAAGTTAAAATTATATATTTACTCTTGATACTAAACAAAATTGATCAAGGTACAATTAAAATACTTTTTTATTTAATACATATATTGTATTGATTTACATAAAATTGAAAACTATTATTTATTGAAATAAAAATATTTATAAAATTCAGTCATTAGTTTTTAATTAAAAACTATTATGTATTATGAAAAATTAAAATTCAAAACAAACATTACTATAAAATTATTTTAGATTTAAAGTATGATAATTTTACTTTTAATTATCTTCTTAAAAAAATTTCTTACCAATAAAATATATGTGTTTTATAAATTATTACGTGAAAGAAGTTGATTAAAGTTTATTTAAGGATATATTTATACCTTCACATTTATATGATATTTGATACGCATTTGATAAGTATACCAACTGACATAATAATAAAGATGAAATAAATCTAATTTATCAACTCAAAAAAACTTACGTTTATAATTATTTAATGTTATTATGATATTAAATAAGTAAATTTAAAGTGATTAAATTGAACTACGTAGAGAAGTATTTAATTACAGAAATTTAAAAAAATAATAATAATTTAAATAAAATTAATATATAATAAAAGTAGTTAAAGACCGGTGAATATTTAAACACACTTGAATTTAATTACAGTCAGTGTCTATAAATTTTGAATATTTTTATATTCTTTAAAGACCAGTTATATTTAAATAGCACACACTTGACAGTCAGTCAATAAATTTTGAATATTTTTATATATTTTTAAAGACCAGTGATATTTAAATATCACTCGAAACATATAACAAACTTAAATCAAATTATGTATATGAAACAATATGGGGTAATAATTTTTTTGCAAGTTTCTAATAAAATTGTATTTGTGAGGACTTAAATTTTTAAGATATCTAATTAAATAAAATAGTCATCAGTAGTTGATTTATTTATTGAATAGTAAATATTGAAGAGTGGAATGATCGAGGCACGCGTATTGGAAAGTAGATTTTGTACTAAAGTCTTACGATTTATCTCACTCCTTTGTTTCGTCTAACAGCATCTCAACGCAAGATCTTATTAATATTAAACATCAGTATTTTTCAATTTTCATCATTGAAATATGTCAGGTAGTTCTCACATGTAAGCAAATATGTTAGGTAGATGTCATATGTAAACTACGTTGCTTGATTAAGCAGTAGTGTTTTAACGGACTAAAGAAATAAAAATAAATATATTATATGATGACAATTAATGGACGAGAGATTATATTGTGAAAAAGAAAGGAAAAAAAAAAAAAAAGATATTGATTATAGGTTTAATAGAGTGAAGCTAAGAAGTCAAATAATAAATTTAATATTAAAATAATTTTTTTAGGATATCTTAAATCTTACATGACAGAATGGGATTCACAAAAAGAATTTAAGTGTGTATTTGGGTAATTGTTTAAAATCCTTCAAATAAAAGTTTCACACTTTCTCATATATATACATAGAAATAAATGTGTATTGATTGATTTACGTTATACAAATACATACTTCATTTATGTAACTAAGCATTGAAGATGCTCTAAACCTTCATCCCTTATGTGTTTGTTTCTATCATATATGACTCTTAATCCTATTTTTATATATTTCTTAGTATCTTTTATCCCATTTCAATCTTTGTTGTTATGTGTATTTTATTTTATTTTAATTATTATATATTATACATGAATATTTTTAGAATATTTTAATGTTTTATCTAATTTAATTTTTATTTATTATAATTATTTATTAATTAAAATTTAATATTTTTTAAAATAAACTATAAAAAAAATAATATTTTTCCATAAGATAAATAAAACATTATTCTACAATATAAATTAATTATAAAAATTTAAAATATAATTTATATATTTAAAAATATATATTTATTATAAAATTTTAGTTACATATAATAAATTTTTGGCCTATAACATGTTAAAATACTAGTTTTATTTTATTTTGTCATTATTAGCACTTACTTCAAATCTTACCATTTACTATTTGTATGCATTTTATTATTTTTTGTTTTTGTTTTTGTTTTTATTTTTATTTTTATTTTGTTGTTAGTTACTCTTACTCTGTTTTATTTTGTTGAAACTTTTCCTCTCATTAGCTATTTCCTTCTTGCATCTTTTTATTTTAATTTCCTTCCAGATTTTTTTGTTAAGAAGAAAAAAAAAAGTCAAACATACCTTAAGTATGATATTGAGTCATGTATTATGTGTTATATATACGTACAAGATTTTGTTTTCATTAAAGTGATTTTATAAGATGAACTTATCGAAATATATAACATTATATTTGGTGTGGTTTATATGATATTATGTCTTATGTTTCTATTATTATGATAAGTAAATTAAATAGAAATAATAAAATATATATATATATATATATAGTAGTCATTACTATTAATAAAAAAATTAGGGAACAAATTAAATTATAAATAGTTCCGTTCAACAATGATTTGATAGAGGTAATTGAATGAATTTTGATAAAATATCATTTAATATAGATATATGTTATTAAAGAAATAAATATTAGAGTAACAGTTAGAAATGAAAATATGTTAGGCCTTAATCAGGATATATGAATTGATTTGTTTAAAATTTGGTCTATCATGATGTATTTAATAAAAAGTTTAATCTTAGACTTTTAAAAAAGTCTTAAAAAGACTGAATTTATACTTATAAAAAAGTTTGTTATGTTTGATAAATCTTATAATTTTATTTTATTTTTTATTAAATTAATTTTCACTTATTTTCTTTTATTCTTTTCTATTCCTCCACCTACTCCAAACAAAATATATGTTGGGAAATATAATATGAGATCGAACATTATTAATGTATGGATTGATTAACATAATGTTATATCAAACATTTTAAAATTTTAGGACGAAAATTATGATAATATCCTGAGACCGGTAAATTTAGGATAAATAAGTCTAAAACTCTAATTTAGTATTAGAACTGTTGTGCACCGGGGAGGGTTACCACACATATACACATGTCTTCACATTGGTGAGATATTGTTCGCTTTGGGTCTAAGCCCTCTCGGATTTGCTTTTGGACATCACCCAAAAGGCCTCTCGATCAATAGGACTTTGCTTGCATCCCAACAATCCTCCCCTCAAACAAAAGACCACGGTTTGACCTTCCCTGCAGCGAAAACTACGAGTATTATCCGATGGTGGTCCCACAGAGCGAAAGCTACGAGTACGCCTCCTAACCATCCATGTTAGGAGGAAGCCTCTCTTCCACATGAGGGTTACCACACATATACACATGTCTTCACATTGGTGAGATATTGTTCGCTTTGGGTCTAAGCTCTCTCGGATTTGCTTTTGGACATCACCCAAAAGGCCTCTCGATCAATAGGACTTTGCTTGCATCCCAACAATCCTCCCCTCAAACAAAAGACCACGGTTTGACCTTCCCTGCAGCGAAAACTACGAGTATTATCCGATGGTGGTCCCACAGAGCGAAAGCTACGAGTACGCCTCCTAACCATCCATGTTAGGAGGAAGCCTCTCTTCCACATGAGGGTTACCACACATATACACATGTCTTCACATTGGTGAGATATTGTTCGCTTTGGGTCTAAGCTCTCTCGGATTTGCTTTTGGACATCACCCAAAAGGCCTCTCGATCAATAGGACTTTGCTTGCATCCCAACAATCCTCCCCTCAAACAAAAGACCACGGTTTGACCTTCCCTGCAGCGAAAACTACGAGTATTATCCGATGGTGGTCCCACAGAGCGAAAGCTACGAGTACGCCTCCTAACCATCCATGTTAGGAGGAAGCCTCTCTTCCACAGGAGGGTTACCACACATATACACATGTCTTCACATTGGTGAGATATTGTTCGCTTTGGGTCTAAGCCCTCTCGGATTTGCTTTTGGACATCACCCAAAAGGCCTCTCGACCAATAGGACTTTGCTTGCATCCCAACAATCCTCCCCTCAAACAAAGGACCACGGTTTGACCTTCCCTGCAGCGAAAACTACGAGTATTATCCGATGGTGGCCCCACAGAGCGAAAGCTACGAGTACGCCTCCTAACCATCCATGTTAGGAGGAAGCCTCTCTTCCACATGGACCCACCATTAGGAAGACTTTCGACACAAGGGATCCCAAACTTGGATCCACCTGTCAGCCATCATACCCGTCGAGCCGGTCACCTCAGACCATCAACTGGCCCCACAGAGCGGAAACTACGAGTACGCCTCCTAACCATCCATGTCACTAGGAAGCCTCTCTTCCACATGGACCCACCGTTAGGAAGACTTTCAACACAAGGGATCCCAAACTTGGATCCACCTGTTAGCCATCATACCCGTCGAGTCGGTCACCTCAGACCATCAGCTCTGATATCACTTGTTGTGCACCGGGGAGGGTTACCACACATATACACATGTCTCCACATTGGTGAGATATTAACCGCTTTGGGCCCAAGCCCTCACGGATTTGCTTTTGGACATCACCCAAAAGGCCTCTCGACCAATGAAGACAACTGTGTGTATATAAACCCATGTTCATCCTCTTATTTGAACGATGTGAGACTTTGCTTGCATCTTAACAAGAACAAAATAAATAATTATACTCTTTAAATGTTTCAAATTTTGGCCTGCAATTATAATTTTCTAAAAGTGGAAGGTAAACTTGCTATTTAATTAAATAAATACTGTATAAATACATCGTTATAAGTTTTAGAAATATATTCACATAATCATGATATATTTATCTTAACAATTTTTTTATTCAGTTTTTTTACTTTCGAGAAGTGAGGACAAAGCTACGAAAATTATTAAACTGGAAAAAAAAATACTTCATTCATGCTTCAATCCGTCATCCAAATACACTTAAAAAGAAAGAGAATTGGGTCAAAGATCCACAGACCAATTAGGAAAAACTAACAAAACAAATGGCAGCAAAATAGATTATTAATTAAAGGAAATCTTTCATTCAGTATGGGTCATATGTTTACCTAATAACCCCTTTGGAGAGAAAAAAGACCGAACATCATTCCCACATTTCTTCAGAACATCATTCCCACATTTCTTCAGAACATCATTCCCACATTTCTTCAGAACACGCAATGGAATTTGCTTGATAACTTTTTCTATATGAGTATTGCGTGCATGGACATTATGATTTGCTTCAACGTCTTGTAAACTTCCCTCATTTGTATCACATGCAACGACATTAGAATTTGCTTCAAGGTCTTGAAATTTTGCCTCATTTCTATTGTCTGCAAAAATGTCAAAACTTGCTTCAAGCTAATAAGGTGTAGAAATTTAAACATCTCATAATTAGGAAAAGCTAACAAAACAAACAGCAGCAAAATAGATTAATTAAAGGAAGTCTTTCATGCAATATGGGTCAGATGTTTACCTAATAACCCCATTCCAGAGAAAAAATCCCGAACATCATTCCCACACTTCTTTAGAACACGCAATGGAATTTGAATTCCATTGATAACTTTTTCTTTATGAGTATCGCATGCAAGGACATTATGATTTGCTTCAAGGTCTTGTAAACTTCCCTCATTTGTCTCACATGCAACGACATTAGAATTTACTTCAAGGTCTTGAAAATTTGCCTCATTTCTATTGTCTGCAAAAATGTCAAGACTTGCTTCAAGCTAATAAGGTGTAGAAATTTAAACATATCATGATTCAGGATCGATTTTACAACTATTGATATGAAAAAATTGTCGACAGATAAAAGAAGGGTACTCTATTTTTGTTTAATGTACAATTTCACAATTTTTGGTACTTGAAACAGCATTATTAGCCATTGAAAAATTGTTGTTTATTCTATGTTTTAAGAACGATTTTATAACTGTTTGAGAAAAGAATTATAAACATTTTAAAAAATTGTTGTTTATTCTGTATTTTTGGAAACGATTTCTAAACTATAAAAAGGAAAAATATTGTCAAAAGTAAAAAAAAATCTCATTAATATTTAATATGAAAAATAATTGTCGATCAATTATTTAGTAATAATATTTTGAAGAAAAAAAAAGACACAACTAATTACAAATTCAAAGAAAAGCTAATAAGTATTTATATTATTTAAATTTTAGAGATTAAAGCACCTAAAAGTATGAAGAAAAATAAATTATAATTATTTGATTTTACAATTTGTTTATTCAAAACATGTTTTATTTAAAAACAAATAAATAATATATCATTATAAAGTCTCGAAGTCTAATTCGCGTGATAACTATCTTGTTAGTAAGTTAAAAGTATCTTCTGTATATAACATGGTCATTTAAATAAGTTTTACTATTCTAGATTTTTTGAGAAAAGAAAACTCCAAATATCATTCATGATGAAATTCCTTAGAACAAGTGCTAGAATCTCACCAGATCTGAAGCTTTCTTCTCCTTCCGATTCCGCTGATTCCTTCTTGGTAAAAATTTCTCCACTTACAACGGTGTCATCACCATGATGTTTAAAGACATCATCAGAACACGATTCAGGGTCTTGAGAACTTGCCTCGTGTGTATCACGTGCAGAGACAATAATAGAATTGGCTTCACGATCTTGAACATTCACCGCATCTGCATGTTGTGTGGCAGTGGCATCACGTGCTCGCTTTTCATGCAAAAAATCAGAAATGGAACGGATGTTGACAAGCAAATAGCAGAAGAGTGCCGCAATTGGAGCTAACTTCAAGTTCATCTTCATGATAGTCACCAAGAAGCATCCGACCAAGAAGTTAGTCGCTCCAACTTCGAATCCAAGTTGGAGTTGTCTCGACAAACTCATAGCCATCAAGGAAAATGCCCCACTTGAAGTCAAGTTCATCAATTTGCCATGTCCCTTTTTCACTTTCCCTTGAACTTCATGACAATCTTCCCAGAAAGACCAAAGAGAGGTGAGTGCTAAGACCAAAAAACTCACTTGCGCTTTCAACAACAAACATTTCCCATGTCCCACGCTGCATCTCTTGACGAAGAGTGTCGACATACATAAAAGTGAGCTTACAACGCTGTACACGACAATCTTGAGCGTGCTCCATTTTCCGAAGAAATATGCGAATGAGGGGCTGAAGGCATAACAGCTGAACCCAACTATGCTTGACCCAAAGCCTGTCACTCTCCATACAAACGGGTGGATTAGGAGTTTTGATATTACTGAGTTTTGAAAGGTTCCAACATTCGCCATCTTCAAAAATTCGTAATGAGTTACAAGTTAGGAGGAAGAATTGTGGGAACAACCTCGCAGAAATGGATAACAAGAATGTGTGGAAGATGTCTTCTTGATCATCGATCGGTCTTTATGACCTTGTCAAAGTTGACCCAGCACGTTGACAGTCCATTTTACAAACCACTATACGCACAACATCGAAAAATGATGCATTCACACGTGATAATTGGAATGAATGATTACTCGAGGTGAGTACGAGTTGATTAAGGTTTATATAAGAATATATTTATAAAGTTGAGGGTTGTATTTTAATTTACATACATCTTCACATCATAATTATATTGTTTATTTTAGGTTTAAAGTATAATAATTTTATTTTTAATCATCATTTAAAAAAAATATCAATAAAGTATAAATGTGTTTTGCAAATTATTAATTGAAAGTATGTAAAATTAAAGAAGTTGATTAAGGTTTATCTTAGGATATCTTTATATCGAGAGGAGTTGTATTTTATTATTGATATTTACACATATATTTTTATATTTGTATGATATTTGATATACATTTGACAAGTATACTAGCTGACATGATAGTAAAGAGGATATAAGTCCAAGTTATTGATTCACAAAGATTTGCATTTATAATTATTTAATATAATTATGATACCAAATAGGTAAATTAAAAAGTTATTAAACTGAATTACATTAAGAAATATTTAATTATAGAAATTTAAAGAAAACAATAATTTGAATGAAATTAATATATATAAAAAATAGTTAAAGATTTGATTCACTAACTTTTTCTATGTAAAATTCTATAAAAAAAAATATTCAATTTGTAATTAAATAGTTAATTCAACAACTCACACATGTATTTAAACCTTAATTCTTTAGGTGAGAAATTCTAGGTTATTTAAGGAAAATTTCAATTCTTTGATAATTTTTGTTAAACAATCTTGCATTAAGGTCAGAGACTAAAAGTTGACTAATGAAGTTTATCTCAATTTCTTGGTAATAAATGTCATCGAAGTTTTCTTCATATTGTAGTTTCAAAAGGGTTTCCCAACCTTAATTGATTCTAATAAATCATGCATTGAGTGATCAAACCAAAACAAACATTAAAAGTAGAAGAAAAATAATTAACTAGATAATATTTTTGTTAAATGAAAAATATGTAGTTTCGGTAATTACCTCAATCCCTAACAACAGGGAATCACTACAAGGAAAATGATAAATTGCGACGAACAAATTGCAACAGTTATCTAGAAACCGTCGTCGCTTTGATATTGCGACCCTTCATACGACAGTTTATCAAAATCGTCGCAAAATTATTCAACATTGCGACGGTTTATCGTAAACCGTCGCAAAATTTGTTTAATATTGCGACAGTTAATCATAAACCGTCGCAATTTTTTTTTAACATTGCGACAATTAGTCATAAATCGTCGCAAACTTTTCAGCATTGCGACGGTTTATAAACCGTCGCAATCTACAAGACAAGTTTGGGTCACAAACACAAAAGGGTAAATAGGAGATTTCGAAATTCGAAAACGGGACGGGGGTCAGACCCATAATTCATAGCACCTGTTAACAGCGACAAGATATTTAATTTCGCGTCTCTGTCTCCACAGAGCGAGAGAACGGACGGTGTTGATTTCTCCGTCAGAACCAATCGCAACCGTCCAACGCGAGTTCCCGAGTCCATCCATATGATCAACAAAACGACACTGCCTGAGGCGTTTATTTTCCATTTTGCCACTCTCTCTCGCGTACTATTATTGCGTTTTATTGGTTCATTCATCCACTTTCTCTCTTCAAAAACCTTTTGTTTCTTTCTGCTTATGGAAGGCCCTTAAACTTTCCTTTCTCTCTGCTTCACTTTCTCGCTTTTGCATTTTCTCCTCTAAACCAAAAACCTTGCGTTCTACAAATTCTTCTTCTCCTTCCCCTAACTGCTCCCTTTTTCAAGCATTTCTTCTACGACTCCGTGTTTCTCTTTCTCCACACTTTCAGGTAGAATGTACACTTGTTTTTTTTTTTTTTGGAAAAAATTCAGTAACGATTTTGTGAGTGTGGATCTATTTAGCTGTTGCAGCTTTCTATTTGTTTATTTATTTATTTGCGGAAGAAGATTCATGAGGTTATGAAGGAAGCTGAAATAGTAGAAAGTAACGCGTGCTGTTTTGAAAAGTTTTTAGTTAATTTAATTACTAACTCGCAAGGTCGTGTACGTGTCTTAATGTCATGTTCCCGTTATGATTGTTTATTTTTGAGGTTAGTTCTGCAATAGTATAACGCATGCAGGTTATTATTTTCAATTTCTAGCTCTGTAGCAGTATTATGTGATTAATTGTTGATTAAGTTTGTCGCTAAAGGCGTGATCATTATGATTTGGGAAATTTTCACTATGCAATGAGTTTTGTTTTGTTTTTTTTTTTTTTTGTTATTAGCACAGAAAAAAAAATGGGTTCGAATTCTCGTGATTTTATTGAGTCCAAAAGGCCAATTGTTGGTGATAGTGGACAAAAAGCCATCCATCCCTTTGTTGTTCCCGAGTCCATCCATACTTTCTCTCGCTGTTTACTTTCTCTCGCTGTTTCACTTTTTTTTAAAGTGAATTCACATGAAAAAGTTATGTTTAAAAAAGAAATGAAAAAAATACAAACAAATGATTATTTTTACTTTTTGACATAAGACAATTGATTAAGAAACACCATAATCAATTACTTTTGTCCACAAATGCGGTTAAAGTGTATTTCTCTCCAATTTTACAAAAATAAAAATTTGTTCCCTAATAATCTGTCTTTCACACCTAATTTTTTATTTATTACCTATTTCTACTCTCATTAAACAAAATTGTTCACTTTTTAAATATTCTAAATTATTTTTAAATCACAATATTTTAAGTAAGGTTGTGCAAAACTTCAAAGACCCGATTCATTTCTTTAACATTATAGAGTTAAAACCCATTTCCAATCATCAATAGTTTCAATTAAAAAAAATCATAAAAAGCTTAATAAACCTAACCATTCACACTAAATTTGTATTTGTGCGAATCCAATCACGAATTTGTTGACTAATGTACCATTTTGTTTTGTTTTAAAATTCATTCATAATCATCTGCACCACAAACAGTGTCAATGTCCACAATTTACGTTACTTAACAGTTTGGGTCACAAACACAAAAGGGTAAATAGGAGATTTCGAAATTCGAAAACGGGACGGGGGTCAGACCCATAATTCATAGCACCTGTTAACAGCGACAAGATATTTAATTTCGCGTCTCTGTCTCCACAGAGCGAGAGAACGGACGGTGTTGATTTCTCCGTCAGAACCAATCGCAACCGTCCAACGCGAGTTCCCGAGTCCATCCATATGATCAACAAAACGACACTGCCTGAGGCGTTTATTTTCCATTTTGCCACTCTCTCTCGCGTACTATTATTGCGTTTTATTGGTTCATTCATCCACTTTCTCTCTTCAAAAACCTTTTGTTTCTTTCTGCTTATGGCTAAGCGTGTTTGACCTGGAGTAGTACAGGGATGTGTGACATTCTAGGAAGTTTCTCAAAAATTGCACAAGTAAGGATAAAACACGCTAAATAGTGAAATATTGTGAAATAGAACCCTTGAGAGGCCAAATATGAGGATTGTTACATTAATAAATTTATTAAAATTAAAAAAAAAATTCTGACGGGTAAAAAAAGGGTCGTAATATTAATTTAGAGGCAGTTGGTGCGACAGTTCATGAAAGGGTCACAATGTTAATATAGAGGCAGTTAGTGCGTCGGGTGCTTCAGGAGTCGCAATTCCAATTTTGCGACGATTTGTGTAACGAATTTGATAACCGTCACAAAATTACCTTGTGACGAACAATTCTGCAACGGTTCCCAAACCATTGCAATATTGTCTTTGCGACAGTTATAACCGTCGCAATGTAGGCCATATAACTGTCGCAAAATCGTCATTTTTTTGTAGTGAATTTAGTCACTCATGATTATAGATTACAACACTAGATGAATTTTTATGCAATCCGTGATTCCTATATTGATCTCATAAAAACCTCTCCAATCTCTTTAGAATTGCACTAAAGAAATATTACAATATGAACTGCTCAAAAAACCTCTAGAAACCCTATAATAATGTTTTATGGACTTTTGGGTCGAGTCTAGTTACTCAAAGTGTCAATATATATTACTCGCCCTAAGCAACCAAGTGAATACGTCCAATGTGTCTTCTATTTATACTCGCTCAAAGCAAATTTGTGGAAGTTTTGAGCGAATTTTGCTCGCTTAAGCACCTATGGTGTGTTCTTTAAGCGATTAGATGTTGTTTCCCAGTGTTTGTCTCTGCCTTGACTCGCTCAAAGCGGATTTATGGTAGCTCTGAGCAAATTGTGGTTGCTCTCAAAGCGTCCATGTTACTCGATCTAAGCGAGTTGATGTAGTCTTCTAGAGTTTCTTTCTATCTTAGCTTGCTTAGAGCGAATTTATGGTAGTTCTAAGCGAATTTTCATATCTTGGAGCGATGATTATGTGCAATCTAGAGTACTGTTTATCCTTTAAGACTTGTAACTTTCCCAATTATTTTATCCTGTTTTCCATTTCAACAAAGAAAAACATCAAAAATACCTAATATTTACAAAATTAAACTAAATTTAAAATTATCTCTTGACTAAGTATTTTGTATAGTCAAGAACAAGATTTAAAGCATAACATATATCAATAATTACCTAAATTGAATAAAATATGAATCCATATTTACAATTATCAATATTGTTTATTTTAGGCTTAAAGTGATGGTTTTATTTTTTATCATCACCTAAAAAATCTCATACTAATAAAGTGATATATAAAACTATTATTTCTCTTTTTATTTTAACAATGAATATTGATTTTTAGTCGATGTGACACGATCATTCATAGCATTTTGCTCACACAAGCCACATCCATATATCTAAATGCAGCCAACCTATTTGTACCCACCAATATAACCCCCAATATTTGCTAAATTTGAGATCCGCCTAGACCTAAAGATTCATGCTCAAGTTTAGGCCAAATAGGTTCAAGTATCTCATCCTCAATAGAATGGGCTTATAGAGACCCCAAAGACTATTTAGATAACTACACTAATATAAAA